ATTGAGAGACCAGTGTTGGACTGTAGAACTGCTTTGAAATTCATATGAGCTGTTCGCACTAAAGTAAAAACCACCATCACTTCATGCGGATACCCCCTTTGGCGCCAGCTGCGGTCTCAAAGCTGGAGCCGAACAAAAACACCCTGATAACGACTGTGTTTAGTCTGTTCCTTCCCATTCCATGCAAGGCCACCTGGGTTGGCTGGAAGACTGTTTACTTAGCCTAGCAGGGCGAAGGACACTGTCTCAGCTGAACTCTGGACACGCACACACATACATATACACTGATATGCACACACTCATCCCCCCCTCCCTTTCCAAACGCCTTCGATGCTTATTCCCTTCCGATGTTGCACCCTTTACCCACCCCTGTTGCTTGTCATGTGTTTCTTTGGTGTATTAAGAGTTTTTTCATGTGCTATGTGCAGAGGTGTTTTTTTCTGTTCTCAAACTGATCTCCCTGTTGGAGCTCAGTCTGGGGGGAGTTATTTTTTTCTCCTTATCTTTCCTCATGTGGTGCATTTTCCATTGTTATACCTCTCTGACCCGTCTTCCCCATGTGATGTTTTGTGTAATGTATGTATGGTCGGAGGGTAAGATGGCGCCGCCATTGCGTGCAATAGGTCAGCAGCCTTATGAAATTCCCCTTTGTGGGACTAATAAAGGTATATCAATTCAATTCAAGAAAATAAATACCTGTGTGTTGTAAATGTCTGCCTGCTGAATGGCCTTCACAACCCTGTGGAACAATCGTGACTTAGACAGGGGTCTGCCCATAATTCCAGAGTGGAAGCTCACAAAAAAACTGGTCTGTCTTCCTAAAAGACCAGATTTGCAAGACATGCTGTGACAAAGCACACAGATGGCACAGGGCAACCTGGCTTGCAGCTGCCTCCTTGTCCACGTCCCCAGTGGGAGATGTTCATAACTCAACTGAATGGGACAGGTGGACTCTATGGTGTCATCAGGAGGAATGCAGGGTTGGGCCGGAGAATTACCTTTCCTGTCCTGCAACCACCTGCAGCAATGCCTGTGTACCGGCTCACTAATCCACCTGGCAGATTTTATGGCCAGCAAAAAAGTGTTTTTCAGGGACAGACATTGCAGTTCAGCAACCTCCAGCAGCTTAAAAGCACAGCACTGAATGACCAGGTCCAGGACTCGTGGAAGGAAACGGGGGTCCAATCCTACTTGAAAGTCACTGGGTGTCCATCTGAAACTGGGAAATTAAGGAGGAGTTGGCCTCAGTAAGTGCTGAGCAACCCAAGAGAACAGCCTTGATTGCTGCCACCATGCCTTGCAGGGTAACTGCACATTTTCCACCTCCAGTTGGGACTGCAGAAACTGCAGGATCATGTCAACTATGGCCTCATGGGGGTCCATCTGGTGGACTGCACCAGGAGGCCAACAGCCATCAGCAAAAGGATTAACAGTTCTGGTGGTTGGTGTAAAAGACTCCTGTAATGTTCTCACTTCTGGATCAGGCAGCCC